CCTTTCAACAAATTAGGCCTCGTTTGAATTGCATTTTTTGCATAAAAATGTTGTGGGTTTTCGTAAAAATATTTTTTTATTGCATTTTTTTCAGTCACTTTTTTACCATCATACGTTGCAGTTTTAAAAAGAATGTTACACTACGGCCTTGTTCTTGATTGCATTAGAATTTATTAAATTTGATGATAGAGAATAATCATTATCAGTAAAAAACTACTTTTTGGGTGATTATAAATTTTAACTTTTTTTTTATCATTAACATATATATAATCAGATTAAAAAAGCAACTGAGAACATGGCAAAAATAGATTATCGAAAATCATAATCTATAATCAATTGAAATAGTCAACTGAGAACAAGCCATATATTTTTTAACAAAATATCTCAAAAATTTGTAATCTAAACAGGCTCTTTGTGTTTAAATTACAAAAGAAATACATTACGTCCAACCTTATAAAGGATTTGTCACAAAACAAATAAAAAGTCATATAAGAATAAAAAGGCATTAAAAAAAATGGTCATTTCACAGTTTAACTCATTCGTTCCCCTTACTGTGAGATAAGTGATGCAGTAGTAGTATGTAACCTCCACTTATGTCATTTCGAGTACCATTAAAGCATTTACATTCTAGCATTTAACACATAATAATGGTGTTTCACTTTCTCATTTCTACCCTTCTATTTTTCACCCCATCCTAGGACTAACGGAAAACCCCTCATATTTTCCCAAAACAAAAAAAAAAAAAAAAGACCCCCTCATATGTACCAAAAGTGGCTAAAAAAGAGTAAGAGACGAGTTCTTGTGGCAACAATTACCCCCAAAAAAAAAAAGAGGTTGAGTAAAAAAAAAAATAAAAAGGAGAAAAAAAGAATAAATGAATTAAACTATTATGGCCAATGTAAAGCGTGAGAAGGAAAGTTGGAGGCAATTATTGCTGCATATGCTGACAACTTAACCTGGGGATGACACATGGTGATAGAGCATTTAAACACAGATGAGAGATTTGATTGGCCAATAGGGATTTTGAGGGTGCTGCTTGCTTGGCATTGATCAGAATACTAGAGTCCACACGTTGCCTGGTTACTTTTGGAGGGTAGCCTCAGCCCGCTAACATTTTGGTTGTTTGCCTAGTTTTGAAGCATGTAGACTATCCCCAACTGCACCAACAGGAACACATATAAGGTAGTAGAAAAATGCTGCTCTTTCTGGTTTGCATCCCAAGGAGGTTTGTTTGGTAATTTTGCCTTGCACCAAGCAGGCAAAGTAACTGACTTGTTTGAACCAACTGCTATCGCAGCAGTTGACCATTTTTGGATTGAGAATTATTTGTCAAAATTTATTTGTTTACATCATCATTACAATTTTCAATACACCTTTTTATCATTCCAATTACCTTTTTATCTCACATACATCACATCACAAAAAGTGCTACAGTAAAAATATCTCAAATAATTTACAATCCAAACAGAGCCAGAGTTTTAAAATTCTACATCGATGTAAACTAAGGAATCAAATCCCTTGCACCCGTGATGGTTCAATCCCTGCCGAGTCACTTTCTTGACCCCTTCCAATCCCTTTCCTTCTAGTATAGAGTAACAGTAGGTGTAGTACAGAATTTATAGTGTCTGACAAAAAAAAAAAACTAACTTGTTTGGATTGCCATTTTTTCTTGAAAAGATTTAAGTTTGCATGAATATATTTCTCAATCACATTTTTTTTATCTCACATACATCAAATCGCTGTAGATAATCCCCGACTTCACCAACAGGAAACATAACTTGTTTGGTTTGCATCCCAAGGAGGTCTGTTTGGTAATTTTGCCTTGCACCAAACAGGCAAAGTAACTAACTTGTTTGGATTGCCATTTTTCCCAAAGAAAAAAAAATTGTGATTTCCGTGACTATATTTTTCAATCAATTTTTAATGTTACACACATCAAATCACTGTAGTATATGTTTCAACAAAAATTACATAAAATAGCAATCCAAACAGGAACAAATTGGCTATCCAATCGTACAGGTTGTCCAAGTACACCAATTGATTTTTATCAATTATTTTCTCAGCAAGTTAAAAATAACCATTCTTCTAACAAATTGAATATTTTTTCTTTCATCCTGAGATTTGTTGTTAACTTTTTCTTTTTTCAATTTAGTTGTATTGACTCATAGATGCATGTTCACTATTATAGCTTGTGCCCACATAAAGCTGTCATGATTCTCACACAGATGTCGATGAAGTTTGTTTGGATAAGAATTTATTTGGATGATTTATTTGATCCAGTTACTGTAGTACTTTTTGTGATGTGATGTATGTGATATAAAAAGGTGATTGGGAATTGTGTGTATGATGCAAGCAAAACAAAATCTGAAATAAATCTTGCAAATTTTCTTTGTCCAAACAACGCTTAAATATAATTACAGTAGTGTAGAAAGAAAAGTTATTTTATAAATGAAAAAATTAGAGTAAATTGCTGAAGTGGATTTATCCAAATCAGAATTTAACCAGCAAGCTCAGTAAAACATTAGAATTGTAGTACAATATTCTTCATAATTAAGAAACATTAAAATTTTTTAGTCGTTCCATCCAACTAATTGTGTTTGGATTGCATTTTTCGTCATTTTTCATAGAAAAATTACTGTAGGAATTTGATATATGTGAGGGAAAAAAGTAATAGGGAAATGTGATCACGGAAAACAACAATATTTTCCGACGGAAACAAGCAATCCAAACAAGGTCAAAAATGATCTTTCTTTACATTATTGAAAGTGTCAAAAACTACACACGACCACAGGTCCTTTTGGTTTCTTTGGAGAAGGAATGAAAGATGATACCACCATGACCATGCATGCAGGTGGTACTGCTGACTAATTTATAGAGATCTGGCATTGTTCAGTAGTCAAGCGTAGTTACCTGTATACAAATTTGTCTCCATATTTGCAAGGCCGTCAAGTTTGACTCTGGTTTACAATTTTCTTCCACATTACTTGGTCGATATATTCATGATTGTATCACTTGCTTTTCCAACTTTCTTGAAAAGATTCAAGAAGAGAATGAGTTTGTAGGAGGTAAGGAAGGGTCCTCCATCTCATCTGCATGTCTGTCTATCTGTCTGTCTTTGAATTCACAAGTTCTGAGCCAAAAAAAGAGAGGGAATTGTATTTGGATGCGGTGAGGATCCCCTTCCATACTAATTAACCCGTGCAGAAATTGTAATAATTCATTTTTCCCCCGGCCAAATCAACATATTATAAGCACAAAGGACAAAAACATAAGGAAAAAATCATCAAGAACTGTTTTGATAAGGCATGTCCTTCTACCTTCTGGCCAGGTGAATGAACACTTTGTTGATGTTGATTCTTCTGAAGTATCAAAAGCACAATGATGAATGAGCTGCCTGAGGGTGTCTCAAGTTGAGATGCTAGCTAGTAAGGTTGCCCGTCAAATCCCAGCCTAGTCGTCTTGGATGATTCCCTTGCCTTTTTACATCATTCAGAACCCCTTTTGCCACAACACTTGAATGTCAGGAAGATGATAGAACATGGCATCAAAGAGTCCTGGAAACAAGAAACTTCCCATAGGACGAATTGATGGGCCCTTGTCTCGTTAGCCGTTTATCCTCTTGGAATAATGACGGGCTTCCAGTACAAAGCTCCCTCAAGGAAATTGGCCAAGGAAAATAGGAAATATGACGGCATTTGCGGGTGGCAAGATTTGCTCAAGCCCCCGGTCTATCAGGAGATTTTGGTTTCTGTCGGCGAAAGACGTGAAGGTTTTTTTTGGTGGACGATGTGATCAGTAGAACTGGGGGGCAAAGGCATGTTCTTGCCCAATGCTATTCTGGTAAGAGTAGTAGTTTGGCTGTATGATGAAATATCTAAAAAATATGCAGTTGTCCGCAATAGAAATCAACTTAGTGGTTAAAAGATTGTTTAGTTTGTACCAGAAAAATAACGAAAGAAGGAAAAATGCAATGTCAACAACGTTGGTTTGAAAACCAATTTTACTGAACATAAACCACTATCATACTTCAGAAAAAAGATAAACTATGAAATTCGAGTCATTGTGCAAGAACATGAAAGAGTATCAAAAGTCACTACTCTCAACTCGAGTTAAAATACTTAGATTTGAACTCGAGTTAAAATACTTAAATTCGAATTCGAACTCGATCTTGTCGAATTCTTGAAAGCCTAATTCGAGCTCAAACTTGATTTTATTTTGCATTAGCTTGAGTTCATGCTCAACGAGTTCAATTGAGCTTACTTCAAGTTCAATAAAATTTAATCGAACCTAATCAAGTTTAAGGAATATAATTTAATATTTTATATAATTTAAAACAAGAGACAAAATAGACACTTCATATTAATAAATAAAAAAACTAAAAAACATATATATGTGAAACTCGATTGAGTTTGATTAAATTCGACGAGTTTTTGAGATTCACATATTAAATTTGAACTTGACTCGTCAAGTAATTTGAGCCGCTTGAGATTGGTCAATGTGAGTTCAAACTCAAGTATTGACTGAGTAAGTTCGTAAGTTACTCAATTTTACGGAACATAAACCACTATCATACTTTAGGAAAAAGATAAATTATGAAGTTTGAAAAGTGAGAGTTAGGGATGTAATCGAATCGAAATCGAGTAGTGCATTATTCGAGTTGGACTTGAGTTAAAAATTTTGCACTCAAGTTCGAGTTTGTCGAACCCTTATAAGTCTAATTCGACTTTAAGTTCGAGTTCAATTTTATTTTGTATTAGTTCAAACTCATGCTCAACGAGCACAATTGAGCTTATTTTGAGCTCAATTAAGTTTAATCGAGCCTAATTGAGTTTATGAAATATAAATTCATATTTTATATAATTTTAAATAAGGGACAAAATAGGCATTTCATATTAATAAAAAAAAATATAAAACATCTGTGTGTGTGTGTAAGAGAGAGAGATTAATATGGGCTAAACTGGAGGATACATTACGATAAGCCCAAAAAGTGACCCGTATATTTAAAAAAAAAGGAGCAAACGCAAACGATGCAGCTGAAAAATTCCGGTCCTTATAGGCTTTAGCAAAGGCGCCTTGATAATCCAGTTCAAACTTGCAGGTTGCAGATACTCTTCGCAAGCGTTTGACACTGGGAATTTATAGAGGGAGGAAGATTGATTGAAGACGTAGGACTAGAGGAACGAGAGGAATCTCAGTTGCGCATTTAAATTTTGATTATTTGTATTAGCAAACAATGATTCTGAGAACTCCAGCGCCGAGAAAGCGAAGGGCAGAATCGGCGTTGCTTGAAGAAGATAATCAATTTTTGAATAGTCGTAGCCCTAATAATACTAAAAATAATGTTTCTAATAGTAACAAGCAGCTGGTCATCTACGAGGACTCTCCGTCGGCTCCGGTGCCGGAATCGTCTCATGACCATCCTATCACCTCCGACCATATGCTCTGTACTTATCAATGCCGTCAAATGGTACTTTATTCTTGTTTCAAATTGTTGCTATTTATTTGATGGAAAATTAGTAGGTGGCTTGGCTAGTTCTGGAGTAGCCGAAGAGTTTAGGAGGTTTTTGGATCCCTTGTATGTTCAATCTGAATTCTTTTGATTACTTTTTATACAATTTGGCGGTTCTTGAGCTGAAAATGTGCGCGGCATGTTTTCATATCGTTAGCTTAAAAATAAGCTGATTGTAGCCTTTTCAAAGTTGAAAGTTTTCTGGATGTGTTCTAGTTTGCATCCGGCCTTGCTTTTAGCTAATTTTAAGGAGGAAATATGCTGATTCTGAGAAAACAAAACTGTTCAGGTGCTTAAGACAACTGATTGTCTTTTCACAAACTTTGATAACAAAACATGTTCGGAATTTTTCAAACAGCCTTATCATAATTGCTTGTCCATAATTGGCCTAAGACGAAGCTAACGAAGACAGGCCCCTTTCTCGGATATCAAGCATTTTTTTGCTCCACTTATAATCTTCCCAACTGAAGTAGAAACTTTATTATGGAAATATTTCAGCTGCAGGTTTTCATCTTGCTATGTTTCTAATATACAGCATGTCGTGCCAAACTTAGCTGTTTTTGGTATGGTAGATAATTACTTATTTGCACTTACAGAAAACGTTATATGTTTAGACATCCTTTTTGCTTGATAAATCTGCTAATGCTATCACTTATGGCTGCAATACTTGTTCATTGTTGCAGGTAAAAGCTGAGTTTTTTGATGCTCTAAGCAATGCAGAAAAACAGGCTCGTGAGTGTCAATCCAAACTTGATGCATTGAATGAAGATTTTTGCAAAGCTGGTGGGTAACAAAATAATACATGTTCAATGTAAGATTAAGATCACTTGCCCCCCCCCCCTCTCTCTTTTGTGCAATGAACTATAAGTTCACTTAATCAAGGTCTTGATATACAGGCTTGGTTAAGGTTAGCAAATGCCTTACTGAAGTCTTGAAAACATCTGGCAGTGTAAAATACTTTTGTCTAGTTGAAAAAATTATCTATAGCACCCAACTTAATATATTTAAAAGATTGTAAATTTATGTATCAAGATTTTCTCAGTGGTGTGTTTTCCACACTACAAGGAGCTGTACTCTAGGGTACTCAAAGACAGAGACAAATTTTGTGATCTAATTTCCCCTGTTCTTTCTTTTGTATGAAGAATTTTTTTCTTGATGAGTATATTTACTGATGTCAACTAGTACTGTGATGTGTTTGTGGCTGTTGCAGAAACTGAAAGGAAAAGATTTCGAGACAAACTTTTATCTGCAGAGCAAGAACTTGCAGCGGCAAAACGACGTGAACAGGATCTTCAAGAACAGCTAATGAAGGGGGTCAACTCTTCTGAAGAACGTCTCCGGAGACAGTTGCAGTTGTTTAATGAGCTTGAGGTGCTTCCCATACAGCTTCAGTTTATGCATGCTTATTTTTCTTTTGTTCCTGAAGTTGGCTTACTTGTTCCTGATGTAAATTTATGGAGTCCTGCTACTCCAAGTATTTTGGTAGAGGGAGTTCAATCTGCGTTGAGATTTATAAGTTTCACAAATTTCTTTTCTATTGCATGAAGCACTGGAATCTGGGTTATAAGTGGGTAGAAAATGGAAAACTGGGGCTGATACCGGTTTAATGCGTAATTTTCTTACAGCACCATATCAGAGGCTTATTTAGGAGCTTCCTTTTGATTCTGCAAGTTTGTGCTGTGAAACCTGTGGCCATGGCTTTTATGTTGCAACGTGTCTCATGTTTTTTTAGTTCTTAATCATTATGCATGCAGTTCTGTGTCAAACTAACATTTCTTTGGGCTTGGTGTGGAGTAAATACATACTTTTGAGTACGTTGCAATTAGCTTGAATAATTATGGACACCACATGATATGCTTATATGGTTATCCTGTTTAATTTTGTGTGTAAAAGTAACAAGTCACTGTTGTTTTTGGTTTTGTAGATAAAGTTCCAAAATGAGGTGAATCTTCGCGAAAAGGCTCAATCTTTGGCAGCATTGGCTGAAGAAAAAGCAAGCGCACTGGAGGCGAAATTACAAAAGGTCTCTCAGAGTACCGAAAAGGAGAAAATTCGGCTCCAGAATGAGCTTGCGCACCTGAAAAGCGATTCAAAACTTTCTGTGTCCAGAATTAGTGCAGATGTTGGTATGTATTTGTTTTGCTTATTTTTATCATGTTTATTTGGACATTTGTATGTAAATTTATTCTTTTGGCTGCTTAGCTTGAGAGAATGGAATGCCGAGCTAAACATGCAGAGGAAGAGTCAAAACTATTGAAGGATCAGATGGAACAACTCAGAAAGCGACTTCATGAGGTTATAAATTTCCTAGTTCTCATATTCTATGAAGTGTTAGTCCTTGTTCTTCACCCAAGACTTTGGGGTTCATTCATTTGCTACGAGTCATGATTTTGGCTTTTCCATACCAGCCTATCAATGGATTTACTGATTGACACGGAATACTTATTTTTGAATTTAGCTTTCCTTCTTGAACTTTTTCTTTTTGTTATTTTACTGTTGCCACAGTCATGCTTCTTTATTTGTTTTTTAGGGGTTTAAGTGTTTTGCTGAAATTTTCTTACCATTGGATTAAGATACTGATCTTTCTTGTTTGACCAGTGCATGCAGCAGAAAGGTGAGATGGAGAAAAGGTTGTTACATGCTACTCCACAAGAATCTCCCTCTACAGACAGTAGTATATTGCTAAAGCATTTGCAAGAAGAACTCAGGAATTATGTAAGTCGTATTCTTATCTGTTATGATCTAAATGTGTTTTCCCTTCTTACTAATTCCAAGTCACTGGAGAATGCTGAAGAACCGATGCCTCAAATTTTGGGTACATGGAGTTGGAATGATCCTGGCCTCAAAGTATTTATGTGATTCGGTATAGGACAATTGTTGTTTTGAATATATTCTAGGCACAACTGAAGATAATAAAAACCAAAAAGCCGAGAAATTTAAGGAAAAATGAATTTAATTACTGGCTACTAAGTTTAATCAAATGACGGAGTCCAATGGGTACTGCTTCCTGTTTGCTAGATTGCATGGTCTTTACTGCACACTTGTATGCCTTTTTGGTGTGTATAATGTACTGCAGAAAATAGCTCAAAATAGTGGGAAAGAGATGTACAATATACCTCACAATGGGTGTATTTTCGGCTTGTCGCTTACAAAGAAACTAATAGCAAGTCCAAAAGCTGGTAATTGGACTTGCAGGGTGGCAAGATGATTCTTCTGTTCCAAATAGTGCATCACAGAAAATCCTGACTTTCAAGTGGGATATACAGTAATACAAATCTTTTTTTCTTTTCTTTTTTTTTGGGAGAATTTACCTATTTATCACTTCATATGGCCGAATAGCCTCAATGTACAATATCAGCTAGCTTTATCTAGTTATGCTGTTTCCTTGTTTCCTCTTCTGTAAAGACAGCTTACTTGTTTGAAAGTGCATGTAATGTTTTCTGTATGAACTATGAAAGCATCTTTGCAATTTTGATTGCTCTTAATATCTTGAACTTCAGATCATCACGTAATATGGTCTGAAAAACTTCACATGGTGGACTTAGTTTTATTACTTCTCTTCTCTATTTATGAAGTCATTTAGTTGGAATGTTTTGTGTGTTGGCTACAAAATTCTTTTCCCCAATATACATTTCGGCCTTTGGCCACCCTACAACAACAATACTTACTTCATTTTTTGTTGGGATTTTGACTGTTGAGATGCTCCAAATCAGTACTTCACTTTTATTTTCTATTGTTTAGTTTTGACACTGCTTTCCCTTTCTCACTGCTCATATGTACAATGTATCTCCTTTTTTTGTTTTGTGTCTTCCCTTCACATTGCAGCTGTAAGTATTTGATAAGCCATTTAAATTCACCTTAATCCAATAATCAGGAATCTGAAGTACATGAGGCAAGAAAACTGAAATCCTCTCATGAAAATGTTGAGTTACTGAAGGAGAAATTACAAGAAGAAAAGAGACGTAGAGAAAGGGCGGAGTTAGACATCCTTAAATTGCCGGAAATCCAATTGAGGATTGAGAAGCTACAGGATGAGTTGTCTGCTTGGAAATCTTTGATGAAAGATATTCCGGGCGTGTCATGTGCTGATGACGTACCTATGAAATTTGCAGCTCTGCAAAAGTATGTATTTGACGCAGTCCTACCTTTTGTGGTCATCAACTTGACTTTCCAAAAGCAAAAGACTTCACTTAATTTTTAATTGCTAAATAAAGGAGTTTCTACATGTTTTGAAGAATGAGTTTGGATTTTAGTGCTCTCTTATTCATTAATGCTGGAAAGTGGGTAGCTTATACTAAATTAATATTTGGTATATTTTAATTAATAAACCCTGTTTCTTTGGACATCATCTCTTATATGTTAATGAATATTTCCTGCATGTGGGATTTTTTGACTTTGGATTGGCATCATGTTCAGAGAAGTGATTGATAGCATGATGAAAGTTGGCGAGGCACAGGTACGTTTGAAAGAGATTGAGGTGGCTCTAGATGCTGCAGAGCTTGATAAACAAAATGCAATTACTGAAGCTACATTGGCTAAAGAGAAGGCAGAATCGTCAAAGTCAGAGGTCAAGAGGATTGAATTGATGGTTAGTAGGACATGACTTTGCTGTTGTGCCTGATAGTATTTCTCTTTTTTCCCCTCTCCCAACCCTCAAAAAGAAGTTTACTGTCATCATATTCAAAGTGCAGCAACTTTTGCTAAGCTTCTGCAGCAAAATGGGACATTCTTGTGTCTGTCTTCAGAAGCCATTCTGTTTCTCTGTGAGCTGTAATAATCTATTGGAAAATTCATGATTATTTTATCTTACTAGTAATATAGAAAATGCTTTTTCTGTATGAAGAACTGAGTGTTCATAACCTAATTTGGGTCGAAGGGTGTAGGGAATGATAGAGGCAAGAGCACTTTGGTCTTCCTTTTTTCTGAAGCTTTGTCAATTTGCTAGAACTGGTAAAGTTAGTTGTGCTTTTTCTTTTGACTGTTCTCTGAAGGTCTGTTTGGTGAAAAGTCATATGTAGGCCATTTCATGGTTCAATGACTGGAAATCTTATGATACTGCTCCAAGATTGTGTTTTGAATTTGAGGCAATGATGAATGTAAACTTTATGTCAAAGTTCCAAAAGCTACATAGTGCAGGTTGATTTTTCTGTTGTTTGGTTAGCAATAAATCAAGTACTGCCATCTCATTCCTCAAAACTCAGTTCTTGTCTGTATTTTCTACATTTATGAGGTTTGCTGTGCTTGTTTGTGTCACTGCAGCTTGCTTCTGCTTTGGAAGAAAGAGACCGCCTAAAAAATATGTTTAATGAATTAAAAAGGGAAAAGCATGCTCAGGGTGGGCCAGAAGTAACAAGCGGAGCACTTGTTCAGGTTGGTGTGGTCAATGTTCTTCAACATATACTTTTGTGGATTTTTAACTAAAATGCCTGTAACTTGTTTGTGAGGAAAGGAGCTGGAAGCATCTATTGCCAAGAAGGAGAACTATATAAAGGAACTAGAAAGCAATTTGCACGAGCAAAACCTTATTAATATCCACCAGCAAAATGAAATTAAGTTGCTAAGTGTGAGGCTAACTGATGAAGCCAGAAGAATAAAGTCATTAGAGAGGGAGGGTGATCGACTTCGTTCTGAGTTAGCTCTATTGGAGTCCAAGGTTTGTTTTCTAAACTACAAATTTGCTAGGATGTTCTGATGTTTGCTGTCCCTATCATTCTTGAGCACCTTTTCACGCTTATGGGTATGGTAACCAAATAGGAAGTGGCAAAAGACGCCCCATTTTTTTTTAATGTTTTTATAAAAGAAAAGTGAGAGCAAAGAATGATGATGAGCTACTTTGAAGTCTGAACTAAATTTAAAAGTTTCACCTATTGTACATTAGAAGTTAGAAGGTTGCCAAACAAGATTTACAAAAGGACTTTCTTAAGGCAAAAGTTAGAATCAGCAGATTTTTAGCAGACGAGAACAAGTTGTATATTCTTCTGTTCTAGCATCATGAACTTCTGTGTTGTAGTAGTTCCTTTATTTATTTATTTTTTTGCTGCAGTTGGGGCATGGCGATTTTTCATCTGCAAATACAAAAGTTTTGAGAATGGTGAATACTCTTGCTGTAGACAATGAGGCAAAACAAACAATAGAGGCTTTGCAAAATGAGCTGCAAAAGACAAAGGAGAAGTTACAGGCTGTTGAAGAGTTGAAAAAGCAATCAGGTAATCTGAGACTCCTGAAAGTGCAAGTGATAGGATAATTAACATGAAGTATTCACTTTGTTTTGGTACTGTTGTCAGTTTCAAATATGGATCGGCTTCCCAATTAAGGAAGGATTTGGAGTAGATAGACTACTTTTCTCAAGAATAGGCTGCCATAAATATATACAGTTGCAGATTAAATACTCCAGGAATTTAGCAGTTGGTAGGCTTTTTTTTTTGTTTCATTCGAAGCATTGCCTGTTTGTTAGGCTTTGCATTTGCTAGAATAGGGTGATTGATTAGAGGAATGATGTTGTGAAAGGTATGGTTTGAGTAAAACATAAAATCTTACTGAAATTCAACTGTTGCATTTCTAAGACAAAGACTATCTGTTATAGGCATTTGAAATTCAGGGATTTAACTTTGGAGCTCCAAAATGAAAATCAGCCACCACCTATAAACTTCATAAGACATCAGGACACTGGAGCATCAATTTACCAATGCAGCAGCAAGATAACCAACCTCTGATTCTGACTTGACTCTATGTCCAGTGATTCCCCTATTTGGTGAATAACAACAGCTACCATAAAGCAGACAAATTGCCTAACATGTGCCTCCTTGAAACTTTTGTTGGATTTGTCATATGCTTTATGCTGTAAAACTCTGCAAACAAGCTGGGTAAAGCAGCCCTTGGTCTTGGTCGCATTGGTGGGTGATGCAGAACATGTTAGTTGTTGTAAGAATGGAAAATTACATTCTTTGCCTCCTCTACCACATTAGTTCATTTCCGTAATGACTTAAATCATTCTTTAATGCCGCCCATTATTGCACTTTTTGGACACAATGGTAGAAGGTGAAAGATGCAGTTTGATTTTCCTAATTTTGACCTCTGCAAAGAGAGTAAAATTGGAGGATGTGGGAAGTTAAATGGGGTTTGGATTATTTATTTCCTGTCAATTACAATGCTCGCTGTGTCTTCACAATTCTAACGAGTTGCTTAACTGGTTCAAGCTAGAAAGTTGAGGGCTTAGATGTGGTGTAACTGAAATCAAGGACCAGTGGTCCATGCCACATGAATGGGGACCAACAGTGGAGTTCCATGAAGAATTCTTACTTTGAGAAACTGAGAAAAATTTAACAATCCACAACCTAGACTATGGTGATTATGGAAAAGAAGTGATGGTAAGTGGTGAAAAATCAACTGCCTACAGTGTGAACATAATAAAATGATAGACCATATTGCTGGCTATATTTGATTATTGGTACTGGATAAGGTGCATGAGTAAGTAATAGTAGTTTTGGGTGAAGATGTTGGTAAACTTAAGTTCTGGATGAATGTGCTGTGACTGTCTCTTTGCTGAGTTAGCAGAATGATTGTATGGAAGTGCAGGAGGCAGCTTAAGACAGTTAGACAGTTTTTGGACTGGTTGGACCATCCTAATTTGCTTGTAACTCCTTTTTGTCAAGTTCTGTAATGCCTGACCACAAACAAACACCTCTATTGGTTTTGTGTGTGTTCTAAACTAACTGGGCGCTATGGATTAAAATCCTCATGTTATACTTGGTCAACTTCTTATAATCTGGCTTTGTTTTCTGTGGACAATTTAGCTGATGCTGGCACACTGGTAGACTCCTATGTTTCTGGAAAGATTGTTCAGTTGAAAGAGCAAATTGCTACTCTTGAAAAACGTGAGGAAAGGTCAGCAGCTGGTGAAATAGTCTAAATATTTGCTTTGCTATTTAACTTTCTCAAGAGTAAATAAAGCTCTGAATACTTGAACAGATACAAGACTGTATTTGCGGAGAGAATATCAGTTTTTAGAAGGGCTTGCTGTGAACTTTTTGGTTACAAGGTATTATTTGCAATTCAACTGAATTTTATTGTAGCTTCTCAAGTGACTGTTGCTGAAATTGTATGGCACTTGTTTTGTGGGATATTCCTGTTATAATGTGGTCTCAGATTGTGATGGACGATCATCAGCGACCAGATGGAATCCCTGTCACACGTTTTACACTCCAATCTATCTATGCTCAAGCTGATGATGAGAGGCTTGAATTTGAATATGAATCAGGGAATACAAATATCACGGTAATCTGCAACTTTATGGTTTCATTTCCTGATTACTTGAATTTGTAAGCTTTCCAAATTTGGAGGGTGGCTGGTAGTAAGAAAAATTTATTGTATAAGTTTCATCAATAATTTTTTTAATCCACTTGACATGATTCTTTGCTAATGATCATGTCACTAACCTACTTTCGTTTCCTTGTTTTACTAGGTGAATGATTACACTAGACAGCCTGAGATATCTCACCAGGTACGAAAGTTGATTCACTTGATGGATGATCTTTCTTGCTTGTTTGATTCTGAAAACAAACATATTGATTCCATAATTGCCACCGGACTTGTTCACCCTGTATTATGGGTGGTGCTGGAAACTATCTCATTCACAAGTGAAATGTAGTTGTGAGGATGTTATTGACACTTGGCAAGATAACCGAGCAAGATTTGTAGCTTGCTAAAATGCCTAAAGGGGAAGGTGATATGGTCTTTATATTACAGAGGCGAACTGTATCTACGCTTTTTATTGCGAGGGAGTTTGCAGTGGTTTTGAGAACTTCTCGAACCAAAAGGTGCAGTGAGGATGAGATACTAAGACTGAAGCTTAAGCATTTAAAAGGGATGGACTGTATATTTTTCGATAGTTGAAAAATGATTTGAAGTCCCCTAAGATCAAAATCTGACCATATAGAATAAGATTTTGGAACATTTATGTGACCTGATGGCAACAGTTATTCCTCGATTTTTGTTGTCTATACATATGCTTTATATGGATTTATCTTGTGAACCCATTGCTCGTGTGAATACTTTTTTTTTTTGGCATAAGTTGAAAGCAACTCATACCAAGGAGGATAGCAGTCTGTTTTGAAAACAATGTTTGAACTACAATTATTAAAAAATAATAATAAAATTAAGCCTATGTAGATGTACATGCTCATTAAAAGTTACATGTGCTGGATGCCGTCATCATATTCTTCTGCATATGTAAGTTCTGGCTAGTTGTTTGATGTGGTTTTAATGCTAGCCGCATATCCCACTGAAAATGGTTTGTACTGTTATGTAGTTACTATGTGGATTATTAAAAGCTCTGAGCCATGTAAAAGAAGAGAATTTTAAATTTAAGCATTTTATTGTGGTAATCATCAGCAAGAACTACTTAATGCTTGTTTAGTGGAGAAGACAAGGATATAATTTGAAGCTCAAATGGTTCTTTTCCTCGTCTTTTTTCCAGGTTGAAATATTTATCCGGAAGATGAATTCCATCCCTGCTTTCACAGCCAACTTGACCATGGAATCTTTCAATAAGCGGACCCTATCTTAGAATATGCAATGATACCTTGGTGCTGTCCATGTCATCATCGATAAGGGGAGATGATGTTGTTGTGATGTCATTAAATGTGTGATGTCCTAGTGATCGGGTGGTCCACCGATTCTGTGGGTTCTCCACGGTGGATGTTCTCAGCTACGTTTAATTAGGTTAGCTTATAATCCTTTTGTACAATCTGTGTGGTAGCATTAGATTATTTTCAGTTCAAGTTTGTTGGTTTTTCAAAATATTTTGATTTTGTAGAAGAGCCCGGAATTTGTTTATTCGACGAGTGAAAAAGCCAGCTGAAAAGGGGAAAAAAAAAGGAAATTCTGGAAGAAACTCTTTCAATTGAACATTTTTAAGCCGGGTATCTAACCGATGGTTAGTGGATTATATCTCGAGAATCTAATAGTAGTTAATACCTACATTAAATCTTCAACCCCGTAAAAGGATTGCTTGGTCGACTACTTCCCCATAATAAGGGTGCTACGAGGGACTTCTAAGCAGACAATGTTGAAGACAAAGGTGCTAAGCTGTGGAGAGGTGGAAAAGTAAAGACAGCAGGAGCGGTCCTTTGTTTTGTTTATGGACATTGTCCTGCAGAGTGGGTAGACATAAATCACATGTACATTGTAGGAAGACATTTTGGCTATGAATCTGATGAATGCAAAGGTAAGTGCAGTGGATACCGCAGTCAAATTTGTCTTCTTGTTTTCCATCTTTTCCACATTGAAAACGCAAGATGCTGTGACAAGTAAGACCCAAGAAGCAAGGTGGGTAATTGATTCAAGAGACTTTTGAGAGGGATGCAGCAGCATTCGCACTTTTTGCAGCGTCCAAAACGGCCGTTGTCATTGACTTGCTTTTATTTGCTAGAATAGTAAGTAGTACATATGGCAGACTCTGGTGCCAAAGTATATACATGGTAGACTACGAATCTACAGTTTGATCATATCACAGTATATATATGGTAGCCAACAAACATGTATTTTTAGTTGAGTTTTTCTAACGGATGTTCATTGGGTACTCACTAACACACGCTAACATTTATTACCTTTGTATTTATAATACTTTTCTTAATTAATCTTGGGTGTGTTTGGATTCCCTGTTTTTGGGGCTGTTTTTGAAAAACTGTTTTTCACATTCCAAATGCTACAGTAAATGTGTATTTCCAAAACAACTCCAAAAACACCATATCCAAATATTATATCAAAAACAACTACATATGTATATTTCAATTTGTATATTATATATATAAATATATATTATATTATGCAATATAAATTGAAATTTACAAATTGAAAATTATATATATTATATATTATATAAATATTTATATAAATTAATATTATACATAATACTATATATTATAGATAATATAATATAATATACATAATATGTAATATTGTATACATAAATGTGTAAATATTTATACATAATATATTATGTACATTATATTATAATATATACATTATTAATGTATAATATTATTATGTACATTATTGTATATAATAATGTATAATAATGTTATGTATAATATATAATATACATAATATGTAATAATGTATATTATGTATAATATATTATATTATGTATATTATATTATATATATACAATATAATGTATATTATACAAATTGAAAATTATATATTATATATTTATATATTATATATTATATTAATATTTATATAATGAAAAATACAATAAATATTACAAATTGAAATATTATATAAACACCACATTTATAATATTATAATATTTATAATTAATATTAAAGTATATTATGTATTTTAAATATTTATATATTTATTTATACATATTATAAATATTTTTATATATTTATATGAATATTATATGTTATATAAATTATATATAATATAAAAAATATTATATATTATATATATTATACATTTATACATAATATATATATTAATGTATATTTATAATATACATTTATATTATTTATTATATATAATATAATACATTTATACATTTATATTAATATACATAATATTAATTTTATATTTATACATAATATTTATACATTTGTACATTTATATTAATTATATTAATACATTTATACTTAATATTAATATATATTAATAAAATTATAATTTATACATTTATATAATATTCATTTGTAATTTATACATGTATAATTATATAGACTTATAAGTTTATAAATATATTTATATTATGTATTTTATATAAATACATAAATATATTTATTTATAAATATTTATAAATGTATTAAATGTATATTTATATAAAAATATAAAAATATAAAAATTATAATTTATAATTTATACATTTATATAATATTCATTTATAATTTATACATTTACAATAATATACACTTATACATTTATAAATATATTTATATTATGTATTATATATAATATAATAAATTTATAATACATTTATATATTTTTATATAAATATATAAATATATTTATTTATAAATATTTGTAAATGTATTATAAATGCATAAATGTATATTTATATAAAAATATAAAAATTATAAATTATAAATTTTAATTTATACATTTATATAATATTCATTTATAATTTATACATTTATAATAATATACACTTATATATTTATAAATATATTTATGTTATGTATTATATATTTATACATTTATAATAATATACACTTATATATTTATTTATAAATATTTATAAATGTATTATAAATGCATTAATGTATATAAAAATAAAAATATAAAAAATTATAAATTATATAAATACCCTAAAATATGTTTTAAAAATGCCTCTAAAAATAATTCAAAAAACATTTACAGTAAAAGTTTTTCATATAGTTTTTAAAAAACAACTCCAAAAACAACTAATCCAAACGGACTTGTATTTCAAAAACGAAATGCTACAGTACTGTTTTTGAAAAACAACCCCAAAAACAGCTAATCCAAACGGAGCCCTTACTTTTTCAAAAATTTGACATGTCAGCATACACTTTAACGAGAGTATTTATTGGACAGGATAATTTTAGAAACCACCCTTTAATATTTTAAAATTACACATATCTCTCCTATTGCTACAAAAGTACTCTACTACCCCTATATAGGATACTTAATGACATTTTTTTTTGGAAAATTTCAGAAATTTCAAAAAAACCAAAATTGACTTATTCTATCTCTCTCTCTCTCTCACTCTTCACGCTTTTTCCTTTCTACCTCACTCTTTCTTCCATTTCCTCTTTTGCTAAATTCCTACCACCCGTTCCTCTCTGCTTGATATTCTTCCTTCAATCCAAGATAAATTCTATCTATCATCCCTTACTCGTATTTATCCCCCTCATTCCCTTCTTTTTGGCAAATAAGATTAGGTTCATCCTTTTTATCCTTTTAATTCTAAGTGTAATGGGTTTGATTTTTCTACATCTATTTATTTTATCCAATGTTGGTTGATTATGGGTGATAAAACTTAGTGATGTCAAAAGTCAAGAATTTGAGGGATGGATGGGCTTTTAGAAATAGGTGGTTGAAAAAAAAAATAAAGAAGGTTGCAAAGAGAGGAAGACGAAAGCTGCGTTATTGATTGTTAATGAAGTGTTAGTTTTGGGTAAAATTTGAGGTCGAGTTTTATCCATTTTAGCACCAAGTGATGAATTTAATTGGCTTGTGTAGTAAATGTAGGGGTTGGGATTATTGGACATAAATGAAATTTATTTTGATTTAAATTGGGGTGTTTGCTTGACTTTTGGGGTGGCATTGCTTGGAAGGAGGCAATCATCATAGTTGAATTTTTTTTTTCCAAACTTTTATTTTTTGGCAGAAAGAGTTTGTTGGCTTTGGTGTTGGAAGAAAGGCAATCAACAAAGCTCTTTTTATTTTTTCCTTTTTATCTTTTTGACAAAAGGGTAGTTTAGGGTATTTGAAAGAATTGGTAGCCTATTAGGCCTATTTTAAAGCATAAATAGTGAAAGCAAGGGAAATGAATATAATTTTTGAAACCTAAAGGGAGCTTCCTGAAATTGTTAAAGACCTCAAGGGAGATTTCTGAAATTATCCCTTACTGGGCATTTGTTAGATGGACTCTTTTTAATTCACACTTCATCTTTCAGTATGTTATGCTTAATGCTCGACTGTTCAACGGTGGTGGTCATGACTTCAATTTGTCCTATACTCAGTATTCAAGGCTACTTTTATTAAACCCCACCAACAAATTGTAAGAAAATCGTGAAAAGGGCACAAATTGTAATTGCCTTAGTCATAACCAACTTACCACTTACCTTTACCTTTAGTAAGTTGGCCTAAACTCTTTTTTGAACTGTAGGTCGAGTGTTCGAATGAATTCTTGCATCTATAGTTAACAAAAAATTCAAAAGTATCATAGTGCATTTCTCGTCTAAATGAGTTTTTTTCTTTCAACCCTCCCATATAGTGCAGTTGAACTCTCCTTTCTCCTTATAAGAGTTCTCATATAGTTTAGTTGGGTTCTCTCTCTATCCCTTAAAGTAGGATAAAATAGGTTATAAATATTGTCACTTCAGAGGGACGAAAGAAAGTCGTCGCATTAGTCACGAGCTTTTCAAGGTTGCCCTTGCACAAATTTATGTTAGGTATTTGCAGCACTTCTACATAGTACCCGGCTGAATTTAGTCCATAGTAATGGGACATCGCGAGATGCCATAACTCTTTAGTCTCGTCATGCCGGGAATCTGATGCCCTGTTTGGACCCTAAAGCATTCGCGGGACATAGTGATGTCTCGGACGATCGGACTTGGGAAACCTCCCGAATCCATTCAATATGCACAAAGGAACCATCCTTGCGTTACCATATATGGCATGTACCACCCAATTGTATCACAGTTGCCAGCTCCAAGTGCAGTGAGAAAAGTCCTTAGTAGCATGATTGAAGACATGAATCCCACATCCAAGCCAAGTTCATCTGTCTGATCAGAATGGATGGCTCTCCCACATCTCCATTCCACTTTAGGAGGACTTAGCCCATGCAATTATGAATGCGTTATAATGAGGGACAAGGGTTCCATTTTGTGTGTTTACCTAAAGGTGAATAACGTTGGATCACTCTAAAGTGAAGGAAAATAAAGCTAGGAATCTCTTAGAAAACAAAGATAGCATTCATATCAAGGCAAAAATGCTTTTTAGTTAGGTTGATAGGTATGGATGATCCATGGGGGGTGATGGAGGCCATGTGCTGGAATATGTCTCTCACGTCATGAAGCACCACCAAGGACCAGCCAGCCATGAACGAACTTCATGGAGAATTCCCTTGTGATGAACTGAGTGGGATAGGATGGATACAATACAATTGTGGTCATGATTAGTGTCACTAATATATGGAGGATCCTTCAGCAAAACTCCAACGACTCCTGTTTTTCAAGAAATGGACAGTAACAAGGAAAGTGATTTTGCTATTAAAATTTGAGCAAGTAATGGGTATCGTCTAGGTTGGATTTACATGGTGGTGGTGGACTCTAGTCCAAGACTCATGGTTGAGTGTGCAAATTAGGTGTTAGTGCCGCCTTCTTCGGAGACCCTTTTAGTGATTTTACGAACT